GGGCAAGACTGTAATTCTTTATGGAAGTAGAAAACCTTGTCTTTCTCCTGAGGAGCGGCTGGTGGTTTCAAACTGCTGACCTTGCAGTTAGCAGCCTAATGCATAACCATATGCCACCAGCGCTCCCCGTTTTTATTCATTTTTTTGTCACTGCACCTACCTTAACTACAATCATTGCATCTTTATCGTTTTGTTGTGAGTTGGGTGTAGGTGTATGGCACAGAGCAGTTTTCCATTCAGTAATTCATACCTATTTTGCTCCATGTCATTGATGGGATTTCCCGTGGAGTAACATCACGGATCCCACCTCCTCCCTGCACTTCCCATTCCCATCCCTCCTCCTCTCATCACCTTCTGAACTGTGTCCTTGGATAGCTGCAGCTCGGCTTTTCTAAGGAGTGCATACCTCACTAGTGTTATTGTTCTCTGTATAGACTTGTCTCTTGTTGGGCTGAAAATTGAGCCCTGGGGGTGAGCTCATTTCCAGACTAAAGGTCATGGTCTTGGGGGTCCCACCAGTCTCTGTAAGACCAGTAAGCCCAATCTTTTTGTTTTTAAAAAAAAGGCACCCATTTTGCAGATCGTGAAATTCAAGACTGAGGTTGCCAAGATAAAAGGCCTGCACATGCAATGCCACCAGAATGGGCCAGACTCTGATGGAAATCCCTGCAGGCTAGCGCTAAGCCCCATGTGTTCCCGAATCTCCGCCGCAGCACACACATCTGTCTGCCACGCGAAGGCAGGGGTCCCGAGAGGATCTTGGACCCTGCAAAGGCGGACTGAGGACTGAGAGCTGAGCTCTTCAGCCAGCACCCCCTGCCGGAACTCCCGGGGAAGGTCTGATTGACAGCTTGAAACCAACCCCATCAAATTTAGAGTCTCCATCTTCCCTGCCCCTTCCTCGGTCTTTCCCACTTCCCAAATGGCAGCTCTGCTCTTCGGTTGCTTGGCCAAAAATCCTTGGAGTCATCATTTCAAGACCCTTCCCTCTCCTTCCTACACCTAGTCCCTCAGCCAGTCCCATCGGGTCTCCTTCAGACACACCCAGGACCCCATTTCTTGCCCCCACCCCCACAACCCGGCACAGCCATCCTCCTCAGCTGAGAAACTGCCGAGCCTCCCACTGCTCTCCCTGCTCGGGCAGAGGCCCAGTTTTTGTTGTTGGGTGCCATCAAGTTGGTTCTGACCCATAATGTACAACAGAATGAAACATCCCCCCGCCCTGCACCATCCTCACAATGGTTCCGGTTCATGAGTCCCTGGTCGCAGCCACTGTGTCAACCTGTCTTGTCCAGGGCCCTTCTCCAGGGACTGCTCTGCCCCAGGGCTACCTTTAAAGCAGAGGGTGGGTCGGATCACACCTCTCCTGCGTTCAGACCTCCCACTGGCTTCCCATCTGACCCACAGGAGAGCCCCTCGTGCTGAGTCACTTACAGGAGCCCCGGGGTCTTGAACACCACCTTCTTTGGCTTTCCCCATGGCCCACTGAACTCCAGCCAGGCTGGCCTCTTTCTGATCTTTGAGCAATGCAGGATGTCTTCAACCTGTGCCCTTACTATTCCCTCTGCCTGGACTGTTCTTCCTCCCGATGCCTGTGTCGCCAGCTCATTTGTTATCTTCAAATGTCTCTCAAATGCTACCTTCTCACCAAGAACCCCAAACACACCACCCCTGCCATCACCCCCCACCCCCACCATCACGACCATCACCACCACCATTATTACTGCCATCACCATCACCCCCACCATCACCACCACCATCATTACCATCACCACCACCACCACCACCACCACCACCACTACCATTTTGTTTAACAAGGTAACATGTTGGGGACTCTCAGCCCCTTTCCCTACGCTCCTTTTCTCCCCAGCAATAATCATCCTCTAACATACTGCCAGTGTCCTTTGTTCTGAAATAATAGCTGGAGGCGCCGTTCACACTCCCAACAGTTCATTTTGGTAAAGTATGCACACCAGGCTACCTCAGCATGTTGACACAGGGCGTGGTCATCACATGCTCTGATTGAGGACATTTTCATCCCCACAGGACACCCCATGCCCAGTAGTGCCCCTTCCCCGCCTTCAGCCACACTCTACAATGACGCCTTTGTGTGTTTCTAGTTGTCCTTCTCTTCCTAAAGGAGCCCTGGTGGTGCAGTGGTAAAGTGCTCGGCTGCTCAACAAAAGTGGGTGGCTTGTGGCCGCCAGCCTCCCTGTGGATGAGAGATGTGGCAGTCTGCTTCTGCGACACTGCAACCTGGGACACCTATGGGCAGTGCTCCTGTGTCCTACCTGGGGTTGCTGGGAGGCCAAATAGACTTGATGGCAATGGGGTGCTTTCTTTTTTATTTGTCCCTTCCTGTTAAAATATGTACTCTCTGAGGGCAAGGGTATTTGTTTGGTTCACTGGTACAAACCCAGCACCAGTAATGGCAACTGGCACAAAGTAACTCCTGGGGAAATGTAAGTGTGTGGAAAGAATGTGTGGGTAGGTGGATCACAGATGGATGGATGACTGAGTTGCATAATGAATGGATAGATGGTTAGATGGTGCATAGATGTATAGATGTATGGTAGGTGGGTGGGTGGATGGATGGGTGGTAGATGGGATGGTGAGTGCATGGGTAAATGGATGGATGGATGGATGGATGGATGGATGGATGGATAGATGGGTGGAACATGGGGAGATGGGTGGATGATTGAGTGGATATATAGATGATTGGTGGATGAATGAATGAGAGGATGGCTAGGTGGATGGATAGATGGATGGATGGATGGATGGATGGATAGATGGATGGATGGATGATGAGTAGATGGGTGGATGGATGGATGGATGTTTGGTGATGGGTGGATGATGAATGCATGGATGGATAAGGAGAAAGATCGAGAGATCGTTAGGGTTAGAATGTTTTATGATAATCTGTCCTACTTGACCAGCCTCTAGTTCAGGCCTGTGCTATCTGCATTTGGCTGACCAGAAGAAAATAGAACTGTATTTACTTAGGATCCAATTGATTGTCAAACGCCCAAGTAGTGTATTAATTAGGTCCTGGTGGAATTGAGGCATTGATCTCAGAAATATTAGATTGTGCTCAGCTATGACTTGGTATTGAAATTCCAGCAAGGATTCAGAACCCCCATGACAACTGTCCCCCAAGTAAGTCCCTGAGCACCCAGACAAGGCATGGCCCCTGGAAGGGGAATCAATAGCCGATTCAAGAGCGAGGGGTCTTTTTGGCCTCTACACCGGTTGCCACTGAATCGATTCCAACTCTAAATGACCCCGTGTGTGTCCGAGGAGACCTGGTCTCCCTGGACTTCTCAGTGGAGGATTTTTCAGAAGTAGGTCCCCAGGCCTTTCGTCCACGTCCACAGTGGGTAGACACAACCCTCGCACCTTTCAGCCAGGTTCCGAGCTTGTTAACCATTTGCGCTCTGTAAGGAGCTCCTTTTGACCTGAGAGGAACTTTCCTGCCTCTGACTTAGGAAATGGCACTTTCATTTTCCTTGAGCCCCAGAGACACGGAATAACCAGTCGCAGGGTCTCCCAGCTACCAGTCGACGATGGTGGTTCTTAAACATGTGGGTGCCACGACCCCTTTGGCAGTCGGCATAAAACAAAGTTCATATGGTGGCAAAGGAAGCCCATTTCATGTAAATCCACTTATCCCATCATTTTCCGTCAACTCTGTGGGACAGCGAGGTGCTGGTCTCTTCCGAACACCTGTGGCACCAGACCCGGTGGCAGCCTGCGAGGTCCTGTGGTTGTGGAGCGGTGAGCGTG